TGCAATTGGAAAAAACATGCATCAACTTAAGATGAACTCTGCGTCAAGAAATTTTGGGAAAGAGAAACAAACATCAAAAATCTTCCCACCTTTCAACATCACTAGGAGGGAGCCCTGATTTTGAATTTTCTGCAAGGAGGAAAAATTGCAAATAATTACAACCAAACATTCATAGAGCGATTACAGAATGCACCATGCAAATTTTCATGGCTATCATATTTTGGCATTGGAGCTCAGGATAGAGACTACTGTTTGAAGCATGATGTGCCTATAGATTCTTCGCACTCTTGTTAGTTTAAATAGGATATAATAGACTTTAGAAGCCTTTGTTTTGGTCTTCATAGCACTTTCTCCGATTATTTTTTTTCCTTTTCTTCTGAATTGTCACTTCTCTTAAATTAGGGGAATAACAGTGGTGGTGCTAAGTTCATTGCAGGTTGAACCCATACATACATACATACATATATATATATAAATGTAGTCATAATAAGGATCCAAAAGTTGCTTTAGATCACAACTACAAAACCTAGGTGTGGCATTCTTGCATATTTTTTAATCCCTTTTAGGATTCCTAGTCGGCCATTGGACAATAGGGATGCACCCACATTCCTAGTTCCCCTTTTAAATTTTTTCGCTCAGCCCCTCCATAAAACTCTTTTCATTTTAAGAAGGCAAAAAATAGAGATGCACGTCCACCATCCTCGCAGACTCTTTTGGACTTAATCGAAAAGCAAATCACTGAATAACATATATACATGAAAGCTTTAATGACAGCAACATTGGAGCATTAAGAAGACACCTTGCATCTTTGCCAAGTACATGACAAAATGCGAGCCAATTGCTGGTGTGATTAGATAGGCGCCTAAAGTATTTGTCCTGCCACATTGTTTTTTAGATGAGCAATCAACCAAAGATATATCAGTCTATCAAGCAGATAATGGAAATGGTTAATCGAGCATACCAATCAGGTAGAGGGCTAAATACTTGGCTTTCAGGAGTAATGAAAGCATGGTCCTTCTTATACACACTACGAGTAAAACCCGGCAAGTCTGCAAGCAAACAAAGAATAAACAAATAACTAAATCAACAGACCAAATTCAGTTTCATCTACACCATCATTGTCACAATAACATTTGCAAGAGCACCACTTGAAAATAATTGCTAAAAGATATCCCAAACAAAAAGACACCCGATATATTGTGTGATCGCTAAGAGAATAGAACAGCATGGTCAAAATCAAACAAGCAGAGTAATAGCATCCAACAACCTCTTCCTGGCACACCATTAGCAAATAAAATTTAGTTATATACATTGACATATTTCTCAAAAAGTTGTCATTGAAAATAGAAACCTTCACATTAGCCTATTTTGATTTATCTGTAATCTAATTTGAAGTAACTTGATATTTTATTTTATTTTTAATAACCGAGAAATCTTTAGGATTAGTGGCTAATGTGTTCGAAGCTCGGTGCAAAATGAGCTCGCTCCTCTACCCTTCTCCGTTCAAATAACATGTTTTTGTCTGCAGCGGGTTAAAACCCATGAGATGCGCCGAACCCACACATCACAAGCTGCACTCTTGTCACTTGACCAAAGCCCTGGGGAAGTAAGTAACTCGATACTGTTAAGTGTACAAGAATTGCGCTCTTACCACTACACCAATGCCCTGGGGGCAGCAAGTAGTTTCATATTATTCATTGTATAAGAATTAAATGCTTATCCATTTTTTCAAGAAATGGCATGGTTACAAGACATGAACTTGATAAATAAGATCCACATTACTCTAATATAAGCAACTTGTAATCAGCTTTTAAATGACTAGATATTGTTCAGTTTATAAGAAATAAGCACTTATCCACTATTTCAAGAAATACAACAACAACATACTAGTGTAGTCCCACATGTGGGGTCTGGGAAGGGTAGTGTGTACACAAACCTTACCCTTACCTTGGGGGTAGAGTGGTGTTTCGGATAGACCCTCAACTTAAGTAAAAGCATTACAAAGCCGTTCGATAAAAAAGAAAACAACAGGAGTGAAGAAGCCAAGACAAAATGCTAAAGAAAGTATGACAAAACATACTAATAAGGAACCGTCAATAGAACAAAATAATACCACAATCGAAGTGCAAGAAACATTAAATAGTAATAGAAATGGAATAACAAGAAACTCCCAGAGTAAAACTAGGATTACTAGTATGAAAGAACAATATTTCACAAAATGCCATGGCTAAAAAACATGAACTTGATGAACTCAACAAGCAAAAGAAATGAACTTGATGTCTTAAGTCATTTTTCTCTTGTTTCCAATACTATACAATGGAGCCAAACCAAGGCAACTGACCTTGGAGATGAGAAGGAGAAAGTGTGGGGTTAGTAACTTTCCAGTAAAGCGGCTGAGAATTGGAATCAGCATCAATTCTTAATGGTGCAGAACAAAACCCATCTTGGGTCAAGACAGTTTTCACAAAACCTGAAAGAACATTAACATATAAAGACACATAAGCAACACTACACAGACAATACTTAACTTTAATCACCTAAAATGCCAAAAAAAGAGTGAAAAATGGGATTACTCAGAGTTGTAAAGAGAAAGAAGAAAGAAATATATGAAAATAGTGAAAAAGACTGCATCTTTGATACTATTATTGCCCAAGGTAGACTCAACAAGTCCAGATTTTGAAGGGTTCTTATTGATTGTTTTGGGATTTTGCCTTCTTTTTGTTTCAGCTCTGATTATGTTTATGGGGTTTCTCAAACTTCAGTGGTGGCTAGTGTGAAGATGAATAAGCTGCCAACTGGAAAATTTTTATTATGTATGAGGTATGCCAAGTCATACTTGTATGAGACATTATTTGATTGACAAATGGACTGGGACCCATCTGCCAAGGGACAAAGGGCATCTATTAAGCCTTTTTTTTTTACACTTAATTTAATATATTTTTTGTTTTCATTTTTTAAAATGTTTTTTTCATTCTTAACTATTCTAACTAGTTTATGTTTTTTCTTTTTTCTTTTTGTTTTTTTTTTATTTTACACTTATTTTAATATATTGTTTGTTTCCATTTTTTAAATGTTTTTTTTTTCGTTCTTATCTAATCTAATTAGTTTATGTTTTTTCTTTTTTATGTATTGAATTTTGATTTATTTTTTTATGATCACCTCTATAAGTTTTTATTCCTATACTATGTTATTTATTCATATTATAATAAATAATTGTTTGTATTTATTTTTTCATTTATAAAATTAAGATATAAGTAAAAAAAATTTAATTCTAACAATTTTTTTAATTAAAAGTATAAATAAAATTTGTAAAGTCGCAAAAAGTCTTTTAAGGAATAAATTAATAAAATTATCATTTTTATTAATAAAATTATCGTATAATTTGACAAAATGATTATGTATTTATGTAGGTGTTTATGAATATTTTTCGTTTTTTGAATTTCGTGAAAATAGTATCAAAACTTATGTAATTGTTTGTCAAGTTCATTGATGCTCTTTCCGTTATATTTTTTTATTGAAGAGTATTTGATGGATTTAAGTGCTTCTAAAAACATGAAAATGTCGAAAGAAGAATAAAAGAACAAATTAATTTTATACCTTCTTTGTTTTTCTTTTACGAATTTCTTAAGAAATCATAAATAAAATAACAGTTTTACTTATTTATATCTTTATTTTTTAAATTTTTTTATAAATTTTATCTACACTTTCAAAGAGAATTAATTGTTATAATAACATAGAAACTTTGTAATTAATTATATCTTAATTTGTAATTAACAAATAATTTTATATAACTATTATTAGCAATATAAATAATTAGTATCGACATGAAAAAATAATGTCAGTATGCTAGAAACAGAATAAATTAGGCTAGAATTTTTTAATTTTATAGCTTCCATGAATAAAATTACTTTATTAAAATATGGTGGTGAAAAATTTGGAACAATTTGAAAAAGAAATCAAACAAAAAAGTAAGAGAGAGGGAAAACGTCATAAATGAAGAGAGAGAAAGAGCTTGGGTAATTTTTTGAAATGGGACCCAATTATCCACTTGTCAAACAATAAATGGAGTCTCATACAAGTATTGTCTACCACATCATATTTGTGCCTCATACATAATAGTAAAATTTTTCCTGCCAACTGCTATATAATCCCAAAAAGTTTCAATTTTTTTTTTGGGAATATACTGAATCTTACAAGCTACATGTGATACTTTTGGATTTCAGTTTTTTGTTTCTTTTGAGGTTTGTAAAATTCACAAAAGGTCCCCTATCTTTTTCCTTCTTAATGAAATGATTTATTCTTTTTTTTTTTTTTTACAATTACTAAGAAATTCTAAGAACATAAGCTACACCATTCTTGTACCATCATTTAATGTAGTTGAAATAATTGAATTTGGGGCTGTTCGATCAAGTAAAAGACACTGAATGAAATTTGTAACTGTCTCAATCTTATTTTTTCCGTTTTTCTTATGTCTATAACCTTCTTTTGATTAAAAAAAAACACACACATTTTTTTTTGTTTCTATCCAAATATCTACAATCTTCAATAAGTCTCTTTAGAGAATGAAATTGTATGTCATCTTATTTAAGAAATTTGACATTAGTAGACAATTTCATTTCTACTTCTACTTCTTTATATTCTATTGTTTTAGTTAATTATAACTCTCGTTTAATGCTCCATAACTCAGTGATAAAATTAGAGATAAGTCTCATTATCTAAATATCTACTTTCCTTGATCATCTCTAAAATTTTTATAAAAGGATAATTTGTATCTGTATGCTAATATTACGTTGACTTGTCCAATTTCTCCAAGGTAGAAAATTATTAAAGAAGATGCATATTTGAGACAAAAATAAAAGTAGGGGCTCTTTTGAGAAGAAAAGTAAAAGATGATATGTATATGATAATTTACAAACCTCGAGGTACATTTGGATATTTCCCTAAAGTTATAACATACATATGCAAATACAAAACAGTAGGAGGACATATTTCAAAAATTCTAAACTTCTCCCTAAACCCCCGGCTGCTGGCGCTTTTCTGGGTTTAGGGTTTATAGGCACAAAAAAAGTTAGCCGTTAAAATTCCGTTCGCCGGAATTGGACTCGCCGATAAACTCAATGGACCCAGTAGTTGATTCACTGCTAAGAAGTTTCCGGCAGGTACCTCCGGCAGCAATACCGGCGATGCTGGACTGTATATTGGCTTCAACAAACTCTGTTCCGTCATCAATTTTCTCTAGTCTACTGGAAAAGTTCCCCAGTTTCAGCCAGGTATGCTGGTTCTTTTTGCGACACTATTATTTTAGCTTGTAATTGGCCAAAAAGGAATATTTTTTATAGTCTTCTTGTTTTATGTGATAGAGCTTTCATTTTTAGTCTGTCCATAGAGAATTCTGATATAAACTGATCTTAAACAAAGATGGTAGAATGAAAGTAGGGATTTTTACACAAATAGCCACCTGGATTCACTGTTTGCTTTTCCTAATCAGTATACCTAAATTATAGGTTGTGTAAATATGGCTCAGTGTTGCCTATGTACTGTTGTAGTAATATACAAAGTTTCCTATTTCAAAAAAATTATACGTCGATTATGCACAGTAATATATATACTATGCATGTATTATACGTATATTATATATTATAGTAGCTATTTTGCTGCACAATATTTTAGAAAAACTAGCAGAGGCAGTTGCAGGATTTTAAATTTGTGGGTGCAGAACTCAATTCTCCTTTGTAATAGTATGTATGAACTTGACGTGAATTTTTATTTTCTGAAAAATAATAACTATATATATAGAGAGGTTGAATTGGACTTGCATCCGCTTTGTGCATCCCCCTTTGGATTGTTTCTTTTAAGAAATAGTTTTTTGTTTAGTAACTTGTTCTGGTATCATAATGTAAAAATGTTAAAAAGAGGAAAAAAGGAATGTGAATCTTATCTCTGCGATAAGGAAAGATTCACATATCTTCTATATGCTTCGTTAGAGATATATCAATCTTAAAGCTTCACTGGAATCAGATTAGCATACCCTTTTTTCTTGGAAATAAATCCTTTATCATTGTTTAAAATATGCTTTATTGTTATCTTTGACCATTGAGACTTGAAGTTTTGATATCATTTTCTCATTCTTTTTCTGTGTACTATATTCACATTGATGTGGGATTTGGAGTGAGAAATATTTTGATTGTTAAGTATTTTTTAGTGTTTGCTGCTTTTGGTGTAGGGTATAATAGATGGGAGCAAAGATTTGGATTTTGAACAGCGCAATTGTATTGTTTCGTTTGTTAGTGCAACCTGTCATCTTCTGAAGAAGTCAGGTCAGTTACATTCCTCGAATTTGTTTCACATCAGACTTATTTATCACTGTGCTTTAATGATCACTTCCGTTTAAGTAAGAAATAGTTATAATTCAACAATTTTTTACCCCCACTTTTAATAATTCTAATCTGATCCCCATATATCTCAGTAATCTGTCCCTATTCAAAAGTTGAATTGTGACTATTTCTTACTTGAAGCTTTAAATATAAATTTCTCTCAATATGAGATTGAAGAAATAAAAAAATAAACCGGAAGGCATTTATAAAAAAAAACAGCGAAAGAGATCATGTGGACAATTATAATTGAATAGCTACTTTGACATTTCATTTCATTTTTCCCTTTCCCGATTAAAATGAATGGCTTTCTTTTGCATACATTTTGGTTCCTTTCATAAAATAATATAGGATTCGTCATTTCACATTGTTCCATGTCGGACAGACTTTGGTTTGAACTATTCAACTCAATCCATTTGAATATAGGAAATAGTAAATGGGTTAGGCACAAGCTCAAGAAACTTACAGTTGTCCACATGATCTCTTTCGCTGTTTTTTTTATAAATGCCTTCCGGTTTATTTTTTTATTTCTTCAAAAAATAATATAGGATTCGTCATTTCACATTGTTCCATGTCGGACAGACTTTGGTTTGAACTATTCAACTCAATCCATTTGAATATAGGAAATAGTAAATGGGTTAGGCACAAGCTCAAGAAACTTACAGTTGTCCACATGATCTCTTTCGCTGTTTTTTTTTATAAATGCCTTCCGGTTTATTTTTTTATTTCTTCAAAAAATAATATAGGATTCGTCATTTCACATTGTTCCATGTCGGACAGACTTTGGTTTGAACTATTCAACTCAATCCATTTGAATATAGGAAATAGTAAATGGGTTAGGCACAAGCTCAAGAAACTTACAGTTGTCAAACTTCAAGTGCTAGATAGTAGTGGACTAGTGGGACAAGCATTATGGACCCTTAGTCAACTTGGTAAATTCACCTTGACTGAGTGGTCATCAGTTAACCACTTTAAATACTGCTGCAGTTAAATCAATTACATATAAAACATAACGCATATCTAAATAAAATTATTTAAAATGTCTACTTGGGCTTGCCATACAGAAATTTAGGATTTGCTTTTGGCTGTTCATATATGTCACATCATTATGGAGCTTGCCTATCTAAGGATCATATTCGTTCCTCCCGATATTTTAATCATTGTGGTCTGTGAGGCTTGGAAATATTAGTTTGTGAGCCAGATATCTTTTGTTGTGTTCTAGTTATAGGCTTCAAATATTTTCATTTGGCCCAAAACTTTTTACTGGCTTTATACCTTTTCTACAGGAGCGGAGACTAGATATATGGAGTTATTGATTTGGAAAATATTTCTTCCCCTGATGAAGCTGGTTCATTCCAATGACCGTGAATTATTTAACAAGGTAAACATGTTCATTCAACTGAATAAGGATGCAGTTTCAAAAATCTGTGGACTTTATTTTATATGTGATGTGATTTATTTTTGCGAAAATTTTGGTCTGATGTTCTCCCATTAAACGTGACGATGGATATAGGTTGCAGGTATGACCTTCAGTGTTGTCGCTGATACAAACAGTTGGGAGGTTGTTGAAGTAACCATTATCCCGTTTTTGTTAAGATTGGTCGGACTATCTATGGGTGAGATTCAAAGCGAAGAGTTGGATGCTTATAAGTTGTGCCTGACTTCTAAAAATTCAGAAGACCGGCATTTGGAGCCACAGTGCACACTATATGACAATCTTGTGCAATGCAATCCTAATTATTTCCCGTTGCCTGTTTCTTGTCATATTTTAACATTGATACTAGATGCTTCTCAGCAAAGTTTACATACAGTGAGATCAGTATCTGGATTGGATTTCGTAGATGAATGCTGCACAGATAAATTTTCTGCAAATTTGCTCTGGGATCTTTGCAATATTACCATTAAAATGCTTCCACAAAGTGTGGAGCATCGATCTTCTGCAGTTACTTTTTTCCTTCCCTCCATATTCAGAGCACTTGATTCTCATTCTGCTTTTGAAGTCTCAATTAATGGACAGAACTATGTACTTTCTCGGTAAAATTCTCTTGCTTTTCCATTGACATGAAATGATGATTACTGGTTGACGTATAAGTATCTGAATTCTGGACTTACGCCACTAGTTTAATTGTTGTTTTAGGAAAAGTATTTTAGAGAAGCTATGGAAGAGTTGCAAGACATTGTTTTCTTTGGGGACCCTGGAGAGAAGAGATGCGTATGCTATACTTTCTCTGTACCTGTCTTTCTTTACTTATACTGATGAATGCCAATATAGTTATATGAGTAGCACGACAGAAATATTTAATTTGAGAGCTGAGAAACAATTCTGGGATGAAATGAAAAAAGGCTTGGTATGTTGTGTATCTACTACAATGTGTTTCCATTGTTTGATAGTAGCGCTTGCTACAAATATCTTGTTTTCTGTTATCTAACATCTGTAATCTTCTTAGGTTGATAAGGAGAGCTCGGTGAGGAAACAATCTTTATATATTTTGAAGAGAACCATAAATTTAGACGAGAAAAACCAGTATCAAACTAGTGTTAAAACCATAGACGAGAGAAGTTTAGCCCATCGTGGTATGACTAAAAGGGAAAGGTGGGCTGAGGAGGAAGCTATGTCCCTGGGGGTTGGGAAAATTTGCAAGACAAGTGATTTCCTCTCCAGTTGCTACCAGAAATGGGAGGCATTTTTTCTTCTTTATGAAATGCTCGAAGAGTATGGCACTCACTTGGTCGAAGCAGCATGGAATCACCAGGTTTGATCATATGTGTCAAATACTTTCACATTCTCTTTGCTACCTGTGAAACATCCTTTGGTTATCAAAAAGCAATTAATGTAAAGGAATTTCCCTGAACGCTCATGTTAGGGTTCTTTATTAATTTATTGATAAGAAATAAAGGAATTAATTTTAGGTGTCTTGCTTGACTAGAATGTTGATCATCAAAAAGCAGTTAGCAATGCACTTTGTATACGATACTGTGATGAAGGAATTTCCTTGACCTCTCATGTTAGATTGCTTTATTAATTTATCGATTAGAAATAAAGGAATTAATTTTAGGTGTTTCTCTTGCCTAGAGTTTTGAGATTTTAAAAACTCAAACCAATAAAGTAAAAAGTTTGTGATTTAGGAAATCTGATTATAGGTCAGTGGATGGTCTTATGTTCATTTCTATTCCAGATCATTTTTCCTTTTGACTTTATGCATTTCCTTATAGGTTTCCTTTTTTGTGTAATTTGATTTGCTGCTGAGGTTTATCGATTCCAGTCATATGGGATGTACCATCACTATCACATACTAACAGACACTCTACTGTATGATTATTTTTCCCTGCAGATGACCTTGTTGCTTCATTCCTCTTCGTCTCCAGAAAATTCAGTAAACACTATCAATGGAAATGTGTGCCACACTTGGATGGATAGTTCAGAAGAAATTTTTGAATGGTTAGCTGTATTGTGGGAACGTGGTTTTTGTCATGATAATCCTCAAGGTAGAGGGGAAAAACTAATAGACTGATATATTTGGTAGAGACTAGATCATGTAAGGATTTGCTTTTAATATTCTGCTACATTTTTTATTCCTTTTTTTTTCATTGCAGTTCGGTGCTTGGTCATGCAGTCGTTTCTGAGTACAGAGTGGACAAAGTACAACCACTGTGCAAAGTTGGTTCCACAAAATTTCTTAACTGGTTCACTTGTAGAAGGATTGAATGATCCGGTGCACAACAAAGATTTTGGTACGTTTATCTCTATATCACTTATAGCACATGTAGGTCTATGTGGTCCATATTTTCCTTTGTTGCTAAAGTGGCGTTTTACAAGTGTGGGGGTGTGGAGCAAATAATAGGCAAATTCAGGATTCAAAGTTTATGGGTTCTGAATTTGATGTTTGTGAGTTCTGAAATTTATTATATGTACATATTAAGTGAATTTTAACACATATACAAGGTTTGGACCAAAGCTAATGGGTTCTTCTGAAATCCTTACTTTCCATGCAAGCACTGCCCTGATGCATGGTAAAGTCATCATGGCTTTTAGCATACCTCTGGGTCAGGGAACAAGTAACCAAGCTGAGGCAGAGGCACTACTTTTTGATTTGAAATGGTGCACCAACAATGGTTTCTACTCTATAGTTGAGGTAGATTCATTGCTCCTTCAGAACTTGATAAATGATATTTGGGCTACTCCTTGGAGGATCGAAGATGTTGTCGAAGAGATCAAGGATTTAATTGTCATACATAGAATCTCTACTCAGCAATGCTTTAGGGAGGCTAATTAAGTTGCGGACAAACTAGCCTCCCTAAGCCATAATGTTACCAATGTACACATATATTCCCAATTCAATGCAATTCCAGGGATAGTTAAAGTCTTCTAAACATGGGCAGATGGAAATTTCCTTCATTTAGAGCCGAGAAATGTAACCTGAGTTTTTTGATCTATAATCCCCCATGACCTTCTCCCCTTTAGAGCTGCTGAATGTTTTGTAGCTAGAGATCTGATTTTGCTCATTTTTATCTTTGGTTTGTTTATTTTATTTATTTTGATAACCGAGAAATCCGTTTGTGACCCGCTACCCTTTGGACCAATCACAGCCTTCTAAACTTGGTGGATAGTGGGCCCGCCCTTCTACCCTTCTCCACTTGGCTTCGCTTTGCATGGTGTGGGGAACCACTCTCTTAGGAAGGCGAAGGCTAGGCTTGAGGAACCCCCCCCTCCCAAAAAAAAAAAAAAAAAAAAAGAAAGAAAGAAAAGAAAAGTGATGCAAATGGAAGACGAATGACCTCTGCTACCTTGGATTTGGGTTGCCTGATATTGGAATTTGTTGACACATTAGGGCTAAAGCTTTAGTATTATGAAACTGGCATATCAAAAGCTTTTAAATGAATAACTATTGGCAGGCCTCTGGTTTTGATGTATGAAGGAAAATATTTGAGTCAGGCTACTCCTTTCTCTCCTGGAAAATTAGTACTCAAACTGTCCATTTTTTATGTACCAAAATGAAACAAAGGCACTTATCATTAGTTTATACTTCAGGGGGTGGGGCTGATCTTGGAATAATAAGGGGTCTTGGAAGGTGGATGAAGGACTCAAAATACTACACTTCCCTACGAGTGCGGATCATGGAGAAAATATCATGAAGGGAAGAGTTTAATGAGAATGCATCATTCAAGGTGGATGATGGGAGTAGGGTATGTTTTCGAGGACTTAAGTGTGGAGAACAGATTGAGTATCACATTCCCAAACATAACAGAATTTCATGCCAAAAAGGAGATGCCATTCCAGCAGCTTAGCTCAAAAGAGATATCATGGAGGCAAAAGTCTAGATGCTTGTGGTTTAAAGCAGGGACAGAAACACTAAATTCTTCCAGAAGGTTGCTAACTCAAACATGAGATAGAACAACGTCGATAAACTACTAGTGAGGAAGGAGATTATTGTAGATAAATAGCTCATTAAGGAAGAAATTCTTACTTTCTATCAAAACCTTTACAGAGTGGATGAAAATTGGAGACCTACAACAAGCTTCAAGGGGAGGAGAGTGTTAGCTATTGATGAAAAGGAGGGTGGGGAAACTACCTTCAGTGAAGAAGAAGTGCTAGCTGTAATCACATCTTGTACCCCTGATAAAGCACCTGACCCAGCTGGTTTCACAATGACCTTCTATCAAAAAAAAATTAGGACAAAGTCAAACCTGAGGCTCTTGGTGCACTCAATCACTTTCATCACAACTGTCATATGGTGAAGTCCTTCAATGCACATTCATTGCCCTCATCCCAAAGAGAAAGCAGGTGCCAAGAGTCCAAAACCAAACCTATGGCTAACCATCAGTTCATGCCCTTGATGGAAACTAGTAAATGAGTTGAAGCCTAACTTCTGGTGAAGAAGATCAACATATTCATTGATGTAATTCATACCTGACATAGTGATGGACTTCCTAAGCTCCTTGAGAAAAAAAAAGGAGAGAAATCCTATGTTTCTTTTCTTTTGGTGCTTGGATAATTAATATATTTCATTAGCTTAAATGAAGATTTAGCAGCATTCTATAGCCTTTCACACACACAATGCTGGAATACATGTATCATGACTGTGCTGATTCTTTTATTTGTGCATATGTTTCATAGGTGTAAGAGGAGTTTATTCTACCTGGACAATTGAAGCTGCTGGCCAATTTTTTTCTCGGTACAGTAGTTATCTGGATGAAAGGTATGCTATCACATATTGATAAGTTTTTACTTAGAATTATACGGATTAGTATCCTATAATTTTTATTGAGATGGATCTAGTGGCCATAGAATGCTATTAATGAGTTGGAAGAGAGTCAGTCTTATTAAAGGGATTGCATGTATGGCAGCCAACTACCTAAACTAAACCTTCTAGGGAAATAGTAATGGAAGTTTTCAGTTGAGGAGAATACTTTGTGCAAGTAAGTAACTAAAGTGAAGTATAGGAAAGTCTCCATGGATGGTGTCTTGACGAGGTGATTCAAACATATGGGATTACTTATGAAAGAGACTATAAAGGGGATAAAAGAGTTCAGTCAGTTCGCAAAATCTGTTGGCAGTAGTTCACATAGGGTTCAATTCCATTTCATTTTTCCTGATAAAAAAATATATGTAGGTTACTCAGTAGGAAATGGGGACTTTTTCTGGTTTTGTCTTGAAGTTCGGCGTGGTGATACTGATCTAAAAAGATGAATTTTCTCATCTGTTTTCAATGGAAAATGCTAAAATAGCCACATTACCCCATATACTTGATAAGAAACATTGTAGGTACTCCAGAAGTTTAACAAAAGCAAATAGTTAATCCTAATCTACACAATCATGTCTTGCTTCTCATGGAGAATATTTCTGAGCAAACTTCAGAAAGAAAAGTTATCCGAGGAAGAGAGATGTTTTTGCAACAAAAATAAAATTTGCTTAGCTTGAAAGCATAATCTAGCTTGTTAACAACTGTTCTGCTACTATCTGTTGGTTGTTTTCTATTTATTGTCTCTTGTACTTCCATTACGTCTTTTTTAGTCTGTTTTTGTCTTGAGCCGAGGCCCGAGGGTTTATCGGAAACAACCTCTCGACCTCACCTCTAAGGTAGAGATAAGGTTTGCATACACTCTACCCTCCCCGGACCCCACTCTGTGGGAATACACTGGGTATGGTGTTGTATATGGGTCTACACTATATACAAAATGACTAACCTTGGATATGGAAGTTCATGTTTTTTAATCTCAATGGCCGGATCGCACCTCTTCTAAATCTACATCACCGAGCTACGTAGACTTCCACTTGATTTTTATTAGGAAAACCATCATTGGACTGGTTTTGTTAAGGCAATTTAATAGTTGAAGTTCCATTTGATGGCAGGAATGGGGTTGTTTTTTTGAAACGTTTGGCTTCCGTTGCTAAGAGGCAATCTTTTGGACGAGCTGGATTAATGTGTCTTACAAAGTGCATTTCTTCAGCTGCTTGTGGTATTGGACAATGCAGCGATATATCACCAGTCATTTTGCAAGATAAGGAGTCTTACCCAAGTGATAAAGTAGACTTGCTTGACACTTTCCGATATATTATTGAAAGCTGTAAACAACATTTCAATCCCTCTTATCGGCACCAAGGTACATATAGATTTTTGGTAGTACTGAACATTTCAACATCAGTATTTGAATTCACAATTATGGAAATCCATCTTGTTTCTTTCAGTTTGTGAGAACATTCTAGCTGCTGCTGTTTCTGTGGTGATTCCTACTGATGTTCCTCTTGAAACACTTTTACTTTTCATTTCAAGCTTGCCGCGAGAAATTACTGATAATGGAGGTATGTCAATGACACTCACATCCTTTTAGCATGCTGTTATCTCTTTATGAATATTTTTGATTCATCTTTCATCTTTCTTTATTAAGCTAATATCACTCAGGTATTTACCCTGAGTGACCTTTTATTAATGAATAACTCTAATGGAGAAGTACAAGCAATGAACCAAGCCTTACCTTACCTTACCTTTTTCAAGCTTATCTGTGGTTCATCTATTTGCAGATATTGATAAAAAAAACTTTTTTTTCCAAATGCATATACTGATAAAAAAGGGTTCTTATCCTTTGCCAATTATAGGTTCTTTGAGATTAAAGGTACAAGAATGGCTTGGGATGAGCGTACAGAAACCTTCTACATCTGACTGTCTACAAACAAATCTCAAGCTTTTGGAATCTCTCATTGGTTACCAAAGAAAGTTGATAAGTTCCTGTCATGCAATTGATATTTTTGTTAACTATGATGACGAAGATTTGGATTCTTGGGAAGCTGAGGCAAAAAGATGGACAAGGGTGCTTTTTCTTGTTATCAAGGAAGAGGAGGACTTGAATCCAATATTCAAGGTTTGCTTTTTCTTTGCTTCTTAGAAATAATGACCAGGCAACTCCATAATAATTTACAGTTCTTTGCACTATTTTGGCAGATTATGAAACACACAACAACAATTAAGCCTCAATTGCAAATTAGTTGGGTTTTGGAGATCCCATTTTTTAATTTCTTCTCGTCTTCTTTCACTCTAGGCTGCCTGCAAGCCTTATCTAGCTGTGACCTAAACAGTTTTCATGTGTTTCACCGTATTACATTGTATCAGTTGTTTTGAAGTGTCTGATTGTTTTTGAGAAATTCATAGGTCTTACCAAGTAAATGAGTGTCAGTTGTTTTGAAGTGTCTGATCGTTTTTGAGAAATTCATAGGAATTACCAAGTAAATGAGATTTGATCCTGTGATGTCTTTCTCTAAATTTGCCATGTTAGCATAGCTGCATAGGTGCCTGTTTGATATGTAGATTGTATTTGTGCTTTTTTTTTTTTTTGAAAAAGAGTATTTGACCTTTGAATTATGTTATAGTTATTAGTCCCAGTTACAGGCTTGTAATACTTGTAGCAACATGTGCAGTTTATTCAAGATCATGCTGCTAATGTATGTGATCGTAGCAACAATTTGGAGTGGGTACCAGTAAAATTGCTCATCCTTCTTTTGAGCTTCATCCATGAGTTACAAGTACTCCAAGGGAGATTGGTTGACTGCTTGAAAACAGGAAGCTCGAAGACAAGCCTTAGCATTTCTGACAAAGTTGACCAATATTCAATGATGAAAAGCTCGACCATTTTTTTGGTGTTCTCTAAATTATTTTTCTCTATATTGGTTAGTTACCAGGAATCTTATCTGTTATTTCATTAATGGCCTTTATAAGATTTCTCTAAAATCCTGAACTGCCTGCCTACAGGATGCACTAGTCTCATATGCTGGAATGTCGTGCAGCATTTTTTGGTCAAAACACATGGAAGAGGGTGGAGATTTTTCTGGCTCCATCCGAGGCAGGCTGGGGGGTACAAGTCAGCGTCGGTTGTCGTCTTCATTGACCAGTTCAGTTTTGCAGGCTGTATGATCCTTTATGACATACTGTTATGGGCATGTATACTGCATTCATGCTGGCCTTTGATGTTGATGTGGAATCTCTATAATATCCTTTTGTCATGGTTATATTTTGAATTAAATACATCTTATTAAACTAATAACCTCTGGCAGTTAGGGTTTCAGCATCTAACTTTTTGATATGTATGTGAGATATGAAGCTATTAGTGTCATGATGGAAATCAGTAATATTTTCTGGTCAGACTCTTTTGATGCATTCACTAATGAAGAAGACAATCATTTGAATTGAAATGTACCGTATTTATATAAGGATATTGCATGATCTGCTCTCTGTGTCTAACTTAACCTTTGTTTTCTTAATCCTCTATCTTCTTTCAGAATTCTTTTCTATTGTTTTATTAATGTAGTTCGTCATAAAACTTAATTTGAAATCTCTCGGGGATATATTCATTTTTCTCTCTCAGGTATATTCATAATTGTTGTCTTTTAATTCTTTGTTAGATATGGGGGGTACATAATTCTCTCTGTTAAACATCCTAGGTGTTTGATCTTTTGATAAATAGGGTGTATGTGAAATTGTTGCTGTAAATGGCTCAATATGTTTCTTCACATGAAGACACATTTCTTATTGCTTCTCCATAAACATGTGAAGGATCAACCAATCCGTTCTCCTTATTCCATATTTGCCTAGTTTGTGTTTCTTTTCTTTTCTAGCTATCAGATTTATAAGCGACTGACTTTGTGTTCTAACAAACCTTTGGATAGGTGACGTCTATAAAAGCAGTTGCTTCCATCTCCAGTTGGTCCGCACAGTTTGGCACCGATGCTTCGCTTGCGTCTGTTGTTACCTATCTGTGGAACTTTTGCTGGAAGATAAGTAGTACATCTCCGGCATGTAGTTCAGAGGTAAGATTTGGAATCCTGGATGTGCTTAGGCATACATTAAAATATAATAGCCAATTGATTTGAATATCTTGCTTCCATTGTCCTTTTTTATTTCCTAAACCAGCTTGAGGCAGAAATATGCCTAGCAGCGTATGAAGCAGTAGCAGGTGCTTTGGAAGGATTACTGTCCATGTTCAATCTGCTGTTAGATCATGTCACAGAAGATGACGAGTTAACTTCATTAAAAGCTGATGGTAAATCAGTCTTGGATTCCTTACTCAGGACTTTGCTTCAGAACATCAACAACATAATTGCAGTGGGAAATTTGGCACGAGCTCGACGAGCAGTTCTATTGAACTGGAAGGTGATCTTCTTTGCCTTTACTTGGTACATGCATAAGGGTATATATTAACAAGGAGATTATATCTTGTGTATTGCACATGTAAAATTCATTTTAATAGGTATGCAAAAGACTGAAGGGAGGGTGGTGATGTCATTGTGCAAAAGGGTTGTTCGAAATAGTTCATGGTATAGAAGCACTAGTAATACTTAACATCTCTGATGCATCATCACCTGAAAATGAAAGTAAAGAAAAAAAATAAAAATTGTCCTAAACATCTCCCTGTAGCTCGAGCTTGCAAGCTAACTAGCTTTTGCATTGCCTCCAGAAGTAGTCAAATGAAAACCCATGGCAGAGATAAAGAATGACATAGCACATCTGGAAAAGCTGGTATATAGGTGTTTCAATTGGAATACACAAAGCAGGACATATGTCTTAAATTTGAGGCTAGGAAAAAATAGGCAAAGTGCGCATAGAAATAATAAATAATGTATTACAGATAACTATCTTGAATATTATCTGTGTTCATTTTGCTACCTAAGATGCAAGTTTCAAGTGGATCAAGTTGGATTGGTTGAGGTATGGATAACAAAAAAGAGGAGAAATAATAACCTATAAAAAAGGCTTAAAATAATTTTAGTTTACTACCTTTTGTTTGAAATATTGGGATGTCAAAAGAAAAGAGAAAGATTGTTAGTTTTGGCAAGCAGTTTGAGTATAGTAAATATAAGCAGGTAATTGTTCGGGATAATTTTCTCCATGAGATGTTAAATATAACTTAGTCCCAGTACTTGCTTTGATTCTATTTATTATTTTAGAGGATCTGTAACTTTGTTAGAGTTTTTTCTTCTTTTACTTGTTCTGGTTTGACTAACCAGCATTGCTCTTTTATACTAGGGATTTCACTTGTGGTTGTTGAAATTGATGTGCTTCCATGATAATGTGGTCTTCTTTTATGATTTCAGTGGATATGCATCGAGTTGCTACTATCAATTCCCAATCATGCACTTAAGAGTGGAGTGCATTCGAGAAAACATAACTCTTACTTCTCAGATACAACACTTATATGGACTTTTGATGATCTTGTTGACAGGTATGCAACAATATGTATCTGCTTAGCAATCACTTAGTAGAAATTACTTGGGTTAATTCTACTTTACCTTTTAATTATGAGTTTTGTACTCATAATTCTCTTCCTCATCAAAGTCGACTTCTACCACAAATAAATTGAAATGGTGAGGTTAGTTTATTATCTAAACTATAAATAAGATGAGTTGTGCAACTCTTTGCATTAAGATTTCCTGTCAGAATAAATTTTTCAATTGCCAAACTTTTGTGCCGACCTCATCAATTCAGTAACCAAAGCTTTTGACATCCTTCCGTATTCCTAGCCCCTTGTGTATCCTGCTCCCTAGCCTTACAGTTATTATGTCCTCCTTTTGCTAATTGTCAACCCCATGTCAATATTTTTATTCCTGTAATCCAACCTACATGCACCGGCCTCCCGCCTGCAGGACCTTGTAGTATTTTTTTTCCTTAAGTTTTGAAGTTTAAACTAGGCTACTGTGGGAAACCTTGACTCTTTTTGTTTTTGGTAAGAATAATTAGAGTTTGATTCATTTTAATTGCGAAATTGAAGGTTTATTTGTACAATTTTGATTGTAAAGCTTAGTAGCCAAAAAAAATTATTAAACACGAAGTGTATTTTTAGTGAGCTTCTTTTGAATTCGTCAACATATTGAACTTGTCAATAAATTTTAACCGAGATCTAGGATCAGAGCCCATTACCAAACTTTTTGCTTGTATCAGCTTCATACATTTACTGCTAGTGAGGTCTGATTGATATGATTGCAGCCTTGAGAATGCTGGAGACGCTTCTGTTTTGCCCATGCTGAGATCTGTCAGATTAATCATGGAGCGGTTAGCTTTGGGAAGGGAAGGTTCAATGGTTTCTGCTTGTCATGGGATTGACATCCAGGTATGCTTAACCTGTGGTTTTGATATGTTACTTTCCTTATTTCAAGTTGTATGTTGTTTTTACTCATCAATTAAAGTTAATTTTTTCATGTTGTGCAACTCATTAATCAACATAAATCTCTTCAAGACAAAGAATAAGTTAAATGAGTTCTAGTCTCTTAGTTGTTTAATGATATATGCCAAGTGTGCGCCTAACCTAGCAGTTTAGGAAACTGGAGGGAGGATATTGAGACCAGAGTTTGAATTCTACAACAACCCAAGTGTAATTCCACAAGTGGGGTCTAAGGAGGGTAGAGTGTACGGACCTTACCTCTTCCTTGGGAGGTAGAGAGGTTGTTTCCAATAGACCCTCGGCTTAAGGAAAAGCATATCAGTACAGGTAAAAAAAGAAAGAGGAAATACATCAAATCCCCCCTGAACTTGGCTGCAAAACTTACTTTAATACTTTAACTACATGGGCGTTCAAATACCCCCCTAAACAACTTTCAAGTGAATTAAATACCCCCTTAATGGCTGATGTGGCAATTAAAAAAAAGAATAGCGCGTAAAAATTAAAAATTAAAGAGAAAAAAATAATTGGGCTACTTTTATTTTCTTTTCGGCCAGTAAGAATTTTTCTCTTCATCTTCCTCACATCCCACCACCCTTATCCACCAACAACCCTAGCCCTTTTTCTTCCTCACACCCCACCATCCCTTGCCACCCTCAGCCACCACCTGCACCACTTCCTCATTTTCTTTTTCGAACTCCCTGCACCACTTCCTCATTTTCTTTTTCGAACTCCCCTTTTTCTTTTTCTTTCTTCGAAATCCTTCACCCTCACCCTATTTCTCCTTGTTCGAACCCTCCATCCGCACCCCTCTTTCTCTTTTTTCGAACTCCACTGTCTCAGCCACCATCTACCTCAGCCCTTTCTTCTTCTTCTTCGATGAACCTCTTTCTCCTTCTTCGGAACACTCATAACCCTATTTATTTTCCATCGTGAATAATTTCAAATTATTCTCACTTATTCTTAGATGTGATGAACAACCAAAAAATTAAAAAATCAGCAACTTACTCTTGCTTCAAGATCACTACTTATGAAGGTGTCTCTTGATTTGATGAACTTAAAGCTCTTTTTAGTGAAAATTTTATAATTTTTTCATCTCAAATTAAATTTTTAGTTGTAACTATGTATTTACTTTGATAATGTGCCTTAACGATTGGATGTTTTTCGAGAAAATGGTCTTGAGAATTTTGGATATGTGGAGTTTGATCTTCTTTGAGAATTTTTTAATTTTAATTTTTCTTTTTTATAATCTTGGATTAATTTTCTTTTTCTTTTTTCCTTTCTAAAATTGTGAATTAAGAAAACAAAAAAAGGAATAAAAAACTCAAAATTTAAATAATTATCAATGTGGCACTGACATGGCAGTGACGTCGTACTGAAGTGTCGATGACATGGTGTGTGTGGAATGCTCTTGCCATTGTGAGACTGGCCTTATAAACTTAGGGTGGATTTAAATTCACTTGAAATGAAATTAGGGGGGTAAATAATTATATGTAAAGTTAAAGTGCTAAAGAAAGTTTTGCTGCCAACTTCAGGGGGGATTTTATGTGTTTTCTCTAAAAGAAATAATGGAAGTGAAGAAATCATGGCAAATACTACAGGAAGCATGACAAAGCATTTTTGGAAAAGAACAGTCTCAAAAAAAAAAAAGGATTTTGGAAAAGAAGGAACTATAACTGTAGCATAATAATGTGATAATTGAAGTACAAGAGATAGTAGATAGTAATAAAAATCGAAGGACAAGAAACTACACAGGAAATACTACTACTACTACTACTACTACTACTACTACTAGAGGATAAGCAAGATAACGCTCCACTACATACTAACCTTTTACCTTAATTTGTGTCCTTCACAACCTCCTATCTTAGTTCATGTCCTCGGTAAGCTGCAATTGTGTCATGTCCTATCTAATCACATTTTTCGAATACTTCTTTAGCATACCTCTACCTCTCCTGAAGCCATCCATAGTCAACCTCTCACGCCTCCACACTGGGACATTATGTCTCTCCTCTTCACATGCCCAAACCATCTCAGTCTCCCCTCCGCATCTTGTCTTCCAACGCAGTATCTTCATTTCTAATTCTATCACTCCTAGTATGCCCGCATATCCACCGAACATCCTCATTTACTTTCATATTATGAACATGAGAGTTCTTGACTGACCAATACTCCATCCCGTATAACATAGTTGGTCTAACCACCATGCCGTAGAACTTGTCTTTAAGTTTAGACGGAATCTAGCTGCTTGGGGCTTTAAGAGATAAAATTTATGAGCGCCACTGATTTCTGACTTGTAGGATAGTCGTAACAGCTGGGGTAGACAATTTTCCAGATGCAATCTACACCACCGTATGTTTGCTGGCAGACCTGTACGGATCTTTCTAATGGCATAAAATAATATTCCTTCATATCAATGCAGACTTAGCTAAAGATAGGGCACAATAGGTTTTAGACTTGGTAGAAAACTTCTATCAAAGGAGAAGTGGAGATTCATGTAGCTGACCCCGACTTGTTTGTGTCTGAGCGTAGGTGTTGTTGTAGTGATAGTTTAGGTATTTCTGTATTAAAAGAGATATTGAACTAGGTGTGGTGTTTATGGAGATAACTATTGTGTCAAGACTTGATAATAAGATTCATTGTGATCCTTTACATCATTCAATTTTGGTGTTGGAACAGGGAACTAGATAAATTTTCATTTTGCTCCTCCCTTGCCCCTTGCCCCTTGCCCCTTGCCCCTTTCCAAAATGATAAATCAGTTATGACTTTCTGCTAATAGTAGGTTGGCATTTCATGTGATGTCAGGTGAATCACCTGTTGAATATTCACTAACTATGGTCTCTACACAGATGATGTGGAAGCTGGTGCGCTCTTCTTGGATTTTACATGTCAGCTGCAAAAAAAGGAGAATTGCTCCAATTGCTGCACTTATGTCTTCTGTGATGCACTATTCTGTTTTTGGCGATGAGAAGATGCATGAATATGAGAATGCACCTGGACCTTTGAAGTGGGTGGGTAGTCTCCCTCCCTTCTATGTGTTTGTGCTATGTTTTTAGTGATTCTGTGCTGATAAATTACTTAGTTCATTTGCTTACCAGATTTTTTGGAAAAGTAACTACATTCTCCACTTCTGCAGTTTGTGGAGAAAATACTTGAGGAGGGCACTAAAAGTCCACGAACCATTCGGTTAGCCGCCTTGCATTTAACTGGACTTTGGCATGCTTGTCCAAGTATTATAAAGTTCTATATGAAAGAACTAAAGTTGTTAACACAATATGGTTCAGGTATGTCCTTAATTTTCATATTATGTCAGTGATCATGTTATTGACTGTAAATATGTAGAGTAGTTTCCTTAATGTCATTTCAGTATCTTCCGATGACAGTGAACTTGTTCTTTTTTGCACGTGCAACTTCATCCCTCTTCAGTTGCATTTGATGAGGATTTTGAAGCTGAATTGTCTGAAAATCGTGATGCCAAAATTGAAGTATCAGTTCTGGCTAAAAGCCCAGATCCTGAGCTGACTGAAGTAAGTTATGCCATCTCTTTTTTGAGATCACCCTCTACATGCATGAACCTCTCTGGTACAAAAGAATGAAGACAGCTCACTGATTGATGTCATTTTATTGTTCTTAAACACTAGAAGAATGCTGACCTTATTACCCCTAATTTTGTCACCTCTGCTGATATTTTGATCATTGTTATGGCACCAGCCATCTTTATTTTAACCAAAATTAAACTGAGCTCCAATGAGTTGCCGTTTCTGTTTGATCAGCATTCTTGCTGTGCTTTTAGGCAAGCCATGTTATAAATGAGAATTGCAGTTTCTGGACTTGGAGTTTCTTTGACAAATTAACAAAAGGCTTTTATACAAATTATTCCTTAATTTTCTATTTCAAGTTTGTTTTTGCATATGAAGATAAAACTTAGTCGACTAGATCTATTTAAATTGGAGAACCTCATGGTTTCAGTGAGTTGTTGACCAAATGCATTTTATAAGCGACTAGCGCTTCATGCTTTCCATTTTATTTCTATCTATGTTTTCTATTCTTAGCTCAATCTGTTGGATAAAAAGTAGTACAGTTTATTCCAAAGTTATTCTTCTTTGGCTTCTGTGAATAGTAAATAATGTTAGTTAAATTTTCGGCTCCCCCCCCCCCCCCCCACCCCTGCACCTGGAAAATGTCCTAACATTCAACTAGTTTCTGATGGGAGTGATCCTGTGCTGTCTTTGTACCAGGAATTTATCAACACAGAGCTGTATGCACGTGTCTCAGTGGCAGTTATGTTCTCCAGACTTGCAGAAATAGCCAGTACGCACAAAGAAGATAGAAACGGTAGTGATGCTCTAGTATCTGGCAAGATGTTCCTACTCGAACTTCTCAATTATGTGGTATTGATTCTTCGCTTATCATCCTTCTTGAACCCCAACTCCCAACTCAATACAAAAAAAAAAAGCAAACTTCTAGAAATTATGAGGGTTTAAAATTTTGGGTATTATTTTTTTTAGCTACTGTTACACCATTTTTTTGGTTTGTGTATAAACTTGCAACTGAATACCTAATTCGAGTATATGTCAACTTATAGACAGTAACCGCTTGTGTACTTGCATATCATTAAATAGATAAGAAATTACACATTTATGGTTAAATATGTCATGTTTAATACTACACAACAATGTTCGCAACTAGCAAGTGCACGTGAATTTCGTACATTGATTGTTGACTATGCTTCACGTAACTTATCTGTGGAGGTACCAACTTCTAGATTGTTTATGCAGGTGAACGACAAAGATCTTGCTAAAGAGTTGTGTAAAAAGTACAGTGCGGTAAGTACTTCTTTTGTTTTTTTCTATAACCATTCTAGTTCTTGTGATTTTTCTTGGATGCGTGTGTTCTGCCCCTCTGGTTATAAAATTTTCTAGTTCAAGGAGCTCACTGAACGGTTCTATTGATATTTATCTGAGTTAGAGGATGCTTTTCAGTAAATCTGAGAGTAACAAATATGCAAGCTGCACCTTAATTCTGTTTCCATCTCTAAATTTGCGAGCTTTTCTTTACCAGTGTTGTGATATTAGCCCTTATCCTTTTTTGGTTTTTGCTCAAATATGTAATTATTCCAGAACTTCCGCAGTGCTGTTTTTATAATGCTATTATCTTTCTGTCAGAAAGTTTAGCCCTTATCTTTCGTCTTCCTGGGCAGATTCATAGGCGCAAAGTTCGTGCATGGCAGATGGTATGCATTTTGTCACAGTTTATTGATCAAGATATAGTCCAGCAAGTTACCCATAACTTGCATGTATCTCTCTACGTAAGAACTTCTGCCTGGCAATCTATTTATTGCTCTTTTATATATTTGAATCCTGATTGACTGTTATTGCCACCCGAAAGAAGAAAGGAAAAAAAGGAGCCCAATTTTGCTGACCTGTCTTAAGATAAGAATATTACTGGATTTTTATAACTCTAGGTTTGGAGATGTTTGTGCTAGATATTATTCATAGACTTCCTCTGTTGCCCTTTCTAATTGCCACTGTTTCTGTTCCGCTGAAAATTTGGGATTTACTAGCTATTCTACATGGCTCTATCCTACTTAATCTTGGACATTTCATTTTTCAGGGTATTTCCAGATTTTTTATGCACATCTTATAATAAGAAATAGACAAGCTGCCACTGGATACCAACATTGTGGTATAGCTACCAGATGAATAATAATAATGATAATTATTCTTGGTATAATATTTTTGCAATAAATACATTATTAATAGGGTGCTGGAAGTCAAGCTACAATGGTAAATTTTATAAGAAGCTTTGGATGACTATCCGACTAAGTGTTGCATGGAATATATGGAAAGAAAGGAATAGGAAATGCTTCAAAGACAAAAAGGAAGTGATTCAAGTTGTTAATTAACAGAGAATTTTCCCTCCCCAAGCCCCCCTCTTATCCCCTTAACCCCCACGAAAAGGGGGAAAACTAGAGAAGAACAGGTGATTTGATTTAGGTAGTTTTGGTTCAAAATTCTCAAGAATTTCATTAGCATCTGCTGCTTCATGCAATATATACAGTTATGTGACATATTTGTTTGTACATGAAAGTCAATATTAGTGTCATATGTGCTCAAATGATTGGCTTCCTATATGAAGCAGCTCCATTGCTGATCCTAATGACTCTTACTGTTCTTTTCCATGTAGAGGAACAATTTCCCTTCGGTTCGACAGTATTTGGAAACTTTTGCGATCAATATCTACTTGAACTTCCCTTTGCTGGTATGGAATTCTCTGATAAATTCACTTTTTAGGTTGTTCTATTCGTAAGATTGGACTTTTCCATGTTTTGCCATTTGACATTATGATATCTTGTGTGACGATTAGCTTATTTTTCCTTATTATGCGATATTCTCCTTTTTCCTCCAGTTCATTTGTGTTCCCTTCATGTTTTTGTTTCTGGTTTTTCTCTTTCCACATCTGTGACATTCTGAATATGTGAATGTCCTGGTAGAATAGTTATGCTAATGTTTCAAATGTTCCTATTTATGCAAGTGCAAGGAAAAGTAAGTGCCAACACATTGTGTGGGCGTGCAATTCAGCCCTCTTTTGGGCGTGAATTTCATCTTTTTGGGGCCTGATTTTTCAGCACTTTGGGCATGAAAATAAGCTCTTTGGGGCTCCATGTGGGCCCCAATCTTCCTCCTCTTGGGCTTGAACTTGGACCATGAAATATGTATAACACTTGGCCCACTCATCACGACAATTCCTGAGCTCATTCGTGGGCTCTTCTTCCACGATAAGCATCGTCTTGATCTCCCATTGAAGCTCAACAATATTATCTTGCATCTCCTTAACTTCCAAACTTTATTCAAGTCCTTTATTAAAGATGCCACCATGGATGCTATCAGATGACAGGTCACACAATTCAATATGATCCAGTAAGTCTCACTCTACTCTTGGTTTCCCTAATGTGAGGGCTCCCATGTCATGTGTCCACACTCTATTATGTTCACTCATAATCAAAAAGAATTTTCACTTGTTGGGCATATGAAAAACATCAAGTGCGCTCATGAGGGGGTGTATTGAAAAAGTAAAAAACATATGCACTCTTGGACAATTTAAGCTTTTTGATGAGATGACCACAAAATCAATATTATGGTTATCTTAAGTTTGGACTTTTGCTGCACATGCAGTATGGATTTAGTATGAGATGAGCTTTCCATAAATCTTTGATACCTCTACAGCATTATCCATCTCTATTTACTAAGGAGTTGTTTCTCGAGTTACCAATGATTGTTTCTGTTGAACAAGTATTCATAATGATTAGGTTATTGTTGAAAGTAAAGAAAATCATAAAGAATATTGTTTATCATATTCTTACTGATTATGTCATAATAATAAGGAATCCAAGAATTGAGAAACTTAGTTTATGTACCCCAAAACTCCTATATGAAAAGACTTGTTGCGAATACTAAGTTGTTAACTACTTAACTATCAAATTCTACATGAGTTTCCCTTTTCTCGTTACCAAGAATCTTTGCTTTATTTGATAGATGAGGGTTTCAGTATTATTCATTTTTCTTTTGCAGGTTGGGCAAGAATTAGTACCATTGCTGCGAGATTATAATATGCGGCCTCAGGTGAGCTTTTTCTCATTCCACTTTCTAACATATAAGATGTTAATACTTCATACTTACAGATAAATTGGAATGGTACAGCATATGCTAGTATGATACCCACACAAGTCACAAGGATGATATGCACTGAAGAATAATAGATAAATCTTCACATTTTTAGCCTCCCCCTTATGACTTTCGTCACTTAAAAATGCCGTCACAATTATTGATTTTTAATCTGTCTTTTGTGGTCGAATTTGGAAAACTAATGGAAAAGCTTGTACTTGGAAGGCAGTACAAGTTACAACATCCTTTGATTGGGCAGCAAGACATCAAAATTGCAAATGCTCGTCTCTGCTGGACATCGCAGTTCTTCATTCTTCCACTGGAGAATATAATGTATAGTGCTGCTACAACATTCGTTGTGACTGTTCTTCAAAAGAGGAAACTGTTTTTTTTTCTTCAATAAACTAGCAATGAAAGTTAGTGCAAACTTTATATCACAAATTGTACTGATGTGAAAAATTATAGAGGCAGTGGAGGGGACCAGCATGTTAATATTTTTGTTTGCTTGTTTGATAAATTAGCACAACTTCAAATCACTTTAATTTAAAGTGAAAGAAGTACTCTGCCCTCATAGGGTCAGGGATTTGAAAATGCACTGACCAAATGATTTGTCAAATTGTCATACATGTCCATTTTTGGTAGGGGAGGTTAACTATAGCTATCTTCTTTTGGTGGACTGAGGTAGAAGTCAGTGTATATTAATTTTGCTTTGTTATCATGTGTACACTGACCAAATGATAAGATAAGTAGTTTACTACTACCTTCAATTGTACTAATTAATTGTTGCCTATCCACTAGCTATGACAGAAAACATCACCTTATGTTTTCTTACGGTTGCAGGCTTTATCTTCCTATGTGTTTATAGCTGCAAATATCATCCTTCACTCAACTGAAGAGTACAAGTCCAGACATCTGAGTGAACTACTACCTTGTATAATTCCTTTGTTGACCTCACACCATCATACTCTACGTGGTTTCACCCAGGTTAGTTCCTTTGTGTTGTGGACTTTGTGATCTATGCTGAGCATATTAATTGTCGCTGTTATTTTAAGTGGGGATGTTATGTTTTTCCTTTGTAGTTATTAGTGCATCAGGTTCTGCAAAAATTGTTGCCATCAGATTCTAGTTTCTATGCAACCATGACTTTAGAGGAAAAGTGCTTTCAAGATTTGAGATCGTACTTGCAAGATAACCCTGACTGTGCGCGGTAAGTTTTATTGTATGGGCTTGTCTAAGATAATATTTCTTTTCTTTTTTTTTTACTTTTTTCATTCCTTAGTGTTCCTTCTAGCACAGACGAAAAAAACACCATCTCACAAAAGTATTTTATGTACAAATATTATGACAAACAAGGGTTGAGAAAGAAGTATGTATCAAACACGGAACAAAACAGAAGTATGGGCTTAACTATTCATCACCATCAAATCAGTAGAATCTCATCCTTTATCACCAAACTGAAACTTAAAGTTACATGTAATCACTTATGGAAGAATGGCAATATAGAACAGGTTACTATTGATAGGGAAGGCGGTCACTAGACTATCTGCCCAAATTAAATTTTTTTTTTCCATTTCTACTTTTTTCTTATTTTCCTTTAAATTTTTCTTTCTTTTCTCATCTTCTTCATTTAAACCAACTGATATTTTCTCCAACCCAGTTCCACCCACCTCCATCTCCAACAAATTCTTCTCCATTTTTCTATAACTTTTTGAAAAACAATAAAGAATGTATGATTTTTGTTAAAGAATGACAAAAGTCCCACATCGGTGGTTAATGAGATGAGTGGACTCCTTATAAGGCTTGGGCAATCCTCCTCCCTTTGAGCTAGCTTTTGGGGTGTGAGTTAGGCCTAAGACCTAATTTAACAATTTTCATAATTGAGAACAACCATTATCACTGATACACCACAACATCAGCAGAAATATTTTTGTAGTTTTCCAGTTAGACAGAAGGATTTGGGGGTTCTTGTGGTTCTTTTTTTTTTTTTTTTTTTTTATGACAAGGGAAACCCGCAGCTGCTACCCTTTGGGTGCGCACAGGGTAAAACCCCCGCTCCTATGCAATAGCTCGCAAACCACATAGGAGAGGTAACCCGCACTAGGCAAGCCTGGTGCGACAAATTGAACTCATACATGGAATTTTTACCTTGAAGAATCCTAGAGAGGTTCGACTTTTCTAAAGCACTCCAAATCTTGATGTTAAGATGGAAGTTTCCAATATCACGAGTTCCTCTCATGCCTACATCAAGTTATAATATAATTATGATTTATGGCATTACCCAGTGTGCAGAAAATGTAGTGTATCTATATAATGTGCATAGTATATGATTAGAATGTGCATAGACTTTAACTAATCATTTGTTTCTTTCTGCCACAGGTTAAGAGCATCAATGGAAGGTTACCTTGATGCTTTTGATCCAAAGAAGTCAGTCACACCGGCTGGAATTTTCAGTACTCGAGTTGAGGTGAGGGATTTGCAGATTGGGCTAGGCTTAGATTATTCTCTCCTTCGGCAGATGCATAGTAACATTAGGAAGATTTTTTTTTTATTATTGCCTAATAGCTGATGTCAACTAATATGTTTATGCTAGGAAAGTTGTCCCTTTGATTGCCTTCGTAACTTCTTAATGTGAACCATATGTATTTTACCCTTGCAGTTTCAGAAGCACTGGAACTTAAATTTGTTGATCCTTGTGGTACAACTGCTAGTATGAGCATAAAATTGGCGTAGTTCCTTACAAAGCTTAATCATAACAATAATAAAATAATCCCTTTTATTAACTGTTGTCGAACATACGTTTCACATTTTAGCTCAGTGAAAGCAAGTATGCCAAGTCAGGCATAGTGACCATATTTCTCAGTTGTCTTTGCCCACGTACTATTTCTAATTTCTGAAAATATGTCCTTTTCTCACTGGTGATATATGTAGGAACTTGAATTCGAATGTGTACCAGCAACCCTCATGGATCAAGTAACTAATTTTCTAAATGTAAGTGCTCACTTTCACTATTTCGTTGTATTTCGTGGTTTTGTTGCTCACTTCCCTTTATTTCCAGGAGACTAGGGAGGATCTCAGATGCTCAATGGCCAAAGATGCAGCAGCTATCAAGAATGAGAGCTTGCTTGTTGACAATGATGGAAAGGGCAAAGAGACATCTGGAAATCTTACTGAAGGGCAAACAATAGTTCTGCCAGTGCAAGATATATCACTAGATTTCCAGAGGAAGATTACTGTTTCCAAACATGAAATGCAAAGTTCTTCTTCTACCGTCTTGTTGGAGAATGAAGGACCATTAAATTCACTACTAGGTAACTGAATAAAATACTGATTTCGTATTGATTTGCATTACAATTTGGTTTGAGAAGGTGAATTACACAGAGGAAGCATTATATAAACTGTCCGTGCAAATAATTCATTAGACCAATAAGTTCGTTGCCAGAATAATTGCTTGTGACTTGCATCATGTACGTAATGTGCTAGCCTAGAATTTCCCCCCGATCCCCATCCATTCTCTCGAGGAAAAGCATTTTTATCTCCTCACTAGTTTCTGTTTATGTAAAAAAATAAAAAATTGATGAGCGTGGTGTCTGGGCCAGCTTTCACGTACCTCGACTAATTCCACGGGATACCTCCCACCTCCCACCAACAGCAGGTACCAGATAACTCTGTTCAGGGAAGAATCACCTCGTGTCTTTTGTCTCCGCTGGGACTTGAACTTGAGACCTCATGATTCTCAACCTTTTCATTGACCACTAGGCCACACCTTTATGTAAAATTTATGTGCTCCTATTGATGTCACAGAAAGGCTGCCTTAATGCCAATTTTATCTCTTGTAGCTGCTTGTCACTAACAAATAAAGTTCAAACTCCATTGCTAGTCTTTGAATAAATATATAGATGCAAGTTCACCTTAAATTGGATGTGATGCTATCGACTTCAGGAGTGACGTGCTGCAGTAATAGGTTAAGTAACTATATGAACTTGTATGATATAGTAGTCATGTGGTGAAAGTTATGAGAAGGGTATTTTCATCGCTTTCCATAATTTGTATCTCATGTATTTTCAAGATTTTTATTTCATTGATTGTCCTACTTGGTGCTTCTCTGTCAATGCAGACATAGAGAAGGAAGATCAGCTTCTTGAGAGAGTGCTGCCCTCGAAAACTGTAGCTTTTGAGAAGTCGAATGCAAGTCAGCAGGATATTATCCTCGTAGCATCACTAATTGATCGGATACCTAATCTTGCAGGATTGGCACGTACTTGTGAGGTGTGCAATCACGTTGTTGTTTCTATGCCTTGTGGATTTGGGTGTTAGTATGTGCATGTTTTTTAGTTTCAGAAAGTTCATTGTTCTTTCCGATTGACTTGTAACAGGTATTTAGAGCATCTGCACTGGCCATTGCAGACAAAAACGTAATGAAAGACAAGCAATTCCAATTGATCAGGTTTTGATAGTATTACTTTCATCTTTTGCTTTGTTTAAATTGTTTGTGCTTGGGCTTTGCTTTAATTTTTCACATTGCAGATGCAAATAAATCTGAAGCAAGCCAGGTTGCAGGGAAATTGATAAATTTCCTATCTCATTCGTGTTATGACATAACATATTTAAATAGAAATAAAAAGTCCTATTTTTGGGTGGATTTAAAATGAATTAGAATTAAGAAATAGGATTTTAGGGATGCGCAATAAATTAAACAAACAAACCATGGATAAATATAATGAGGATCTGATGACATCCTTAAATAGAATAAAGATGATGTGGTTTGAAAGAATAACTGAATTGCCTGATATAATGAACTAGCCCACAAATTCTTTTGAAGTCTCTTAATATTTCATTTCTTTGTGCAAAATTTAATGGAATGTGCCTGTGCACTTTGACTTATAGATTAACACTATGGTCAAGGTGATTTTAGTGAAAGGAGTTGCATATTTACACCAGGTGATTTTAGTGACTTAAAGGAGGTTGAAATTTCACAACTTGCAAATCCTCGATGTAAAATTTTGTTTTTGTGAATAGGAATTTTAGATCAGCATTACGAATGAATGGGAAAGTACCTTGATAGAGAAAGAATGTTTTTTCTAAGTTGGAGAGGAAATGCTTGGTGTTATATAGATTATCTTGATTATGGCCCCCTTTGTAGTTGACTGGAATTATTTGTTGCATGTGTAGTGTAACTGCAGAGAAATGGGTCCCCATTATTGAAGTCCCAGTTATTAGTATGAAAGTTTTCTTGGAGAGGAAGAAGCACGAAGGTTTCTCCATCTTAGGTCTGGAGCAAACAGCAAACAGTATTTCTCTTGACCAATACGAGTTCCCTAAGAGGACGGTGAGTTTCAGACGGTCAACATGGTGTTTCGTCTTTCCTTGAGTGAAAATTATTATATAATTATCTACACCAGTTTGATTGTAGATCTTCACTCTTGTTGCAAATGAATGGCCATGTGTCCATGTGCATAAATAGCAGGACTTACGAATTAGTGGATCCTTCTGTTTTCTGTTAATTTGAACTGCTTATACCAAATATCAATATTTTCTAATGTTTATAATTTGTTTACCATGTGGTTTGTATCATTTATGGTTAGGAAAAAAGTGTCCTAATGCTAAACTTGGAAACGTGTGTGTATCACTAGGTTGACAATGATACCAATCTTTAGTGAAGGCACAATTCTACTTTTTGAAAATTCTCTTTCACAAAATGATTGTTACTGTTGTTTTATTCATGATTCGTAAACTAAATTGTTATTGACGTTATTCATGATTCGTAAAATAAATTGATATATTGATGTTATTCATGATTTCTTTAAGACATAACCTTTGAAATTAGTCTGATTATTGGTTGAATATTTGTAGGTCTTGGTCCTTGGCCGAGAAAAAGAGGGTATACCAGTGGACATCATTCACATCTTGGATGCTTGCATAGAAATCCCACAGTTGGGAATAGTTCGATCACTCAACGTTCATGTCAGTGGTGCCATTGCACTTTGGGAATACACTAGGCAGCAAAGATCCAGTAGCTACTGAATTACACTACAAACTCTCTGCTTTCCTTTGGAGTGCAAGATAGCTAATTGTTTCTATCATCCTCATATTTACTGTATAATTACAGGTCACATATGTTATATAGAAAATACACCGTACATGTACCCCTCTATATGTGGTGATATTGTTTTTGAGGGGCTCCAATTTTGTATTATAGAAGATCTCTGCAAGTGATTTGAAGTTGAGGGAACAATCCATCATCCTTATGTTTCTTATTGAGTTTTAAGAGTAGGTTTTTTCCCTCATTGTGTTGTGTTTCTTTCTCCAGCAGGTTGTATACAATTTACTACTACAAGTTTTGATAATTCAATGAAATTTGCAAGTAATTGCTTCTTGTTTTGAAGTATAGTTAAGGCTGATGATTCAAAATTTCTTCCTTTTTTCTCCCTGTACACTACAGCCACCATGAAACAAGAGCTGGTCTCTTGTTAGGCCTTTAATTTTGTTACCACTTACTGGAGAGAATTGTCTACTCTATTTAAGAGATTACTCAAACTACCTGATTTCTCATGTTCATATTTATGTTTACCTATGGTCTTTGGGGTCAAGTTTGTGAGTAACTCGAGCAAAGTCCACTTCAGGCAACTGTGACTACCTATACTTCAACTATAGGCACAAGGGCATAGCGAGCAGCCAAGCACAAAAGAGGAATTGCATGCGTCTCCATGAAGAATGAAGTCTAGGGTTAGAAAGAAGAGTGGTGTGAGAGCATTGTGTGAAAAAAGAAAAAGAAAGAAAGGAATGCAACTGAAATTTGCAAGACAAAAGGCCAAAAGGTTTAGACAAGCAAAAAAAGAAAGATATGAAAGTTGGAAGAAATAAAGTCACTTTAATCAGTGATCTCGGGTTTGAATATCGCCTACAGAGTCGTCTTTGATAGAGTGCAACCCCCTTATCCCATGTGTGCATGATGTCAGAAAATAAAGATAAAGTAGAAAAAACCCAAATCGTGACCATTCAAAGCATGAGGAAGGGATGCAAAACCAAATGGACAGGGGAGTGGTTTGGAAATGAAAAAATCATGCATGCAAAACAAGTCTTTTAAAAGTGACTACTTTACCTCTCCTTCAAATGTCTAATACACCAGATCTCTAGTAATGGCAACCATTTTAACCTTCATTGCCCTCTCTTTTATGACTACATGGGTGCCCTTATTGGCAAATGCAAAAGTCTTCATAGTTCTAATGAAAGATGACCCTTTTGTATCTACAAAATCAAAGTAAAAACACTTGCTTCTTCCTTAACCTGATTTAGTTAGCCATTAAGCATGCACTCAGATTTATTATTGCTATTGTGCCAATCTTTTTTGCAGGAATTTTGAAGATATTGATGTCTACAAAGAAAGGATGAGAAGACAACATGACATGCTTCTAGGATCTCTTCTAGAAAAAAGTGTTTATACCAAAGTTTACAGCTATACTCATTTGATCAATGGATTTGCCATTCATTTGGCATCTGATGAGGTAGGTATTTGACTTCATCGATACTGATGTCTAAAGATTTTCGTATTTTTGTTCTGTTGACTATCTAAATGGTCAATGAATTGTAAGTGTTATATTGCTGCAGGCCCTTGATATTCTGCGGAATGTAGAAGGTGTTAGAGCCATTTATGAAGATGTAAAGATGAAGAAGCTGACAACGCATACACCTGACTTTTTAGGACTTCCTGCTGGTGTCTGGCCTAAGTTAGGTGGCCCTACGACTTCAGGGGCAGGCGTTGTGATTGGTATGATTGACACCGGAATCAATCCGTTCCATCCTAGCTTTTTGGCTCAAGCATCAAATGGTGCTGGCCGCGGTACAATTGTGAAAAGTGGCAAATTCAAAGGGAAGTGTGTGACTGGAGATAGATTCCCGGAAACAGCCTGCAATAGCAAGATAGTTGGAGCACAATATTTTGCAAGAGCTGCAACTGCTGCTGGCGAATTCAATGCCTCTCGTGACTATGCTTCCCCTTTTGATGCTGATGGACATGGAAGGCAAGTGACTTAATATTTAGTATGAAAAACATACTTAGCAGTATTGTTTAGTAACCACTAACCACTGAAACTGAATTATGATTGAACTTTTTGACCATTATTGTTTTGTTTCATTTGATATTTTTGTACGAAAATACATGTTCATAATCTACGAAAGATGTTTCGACATAGCAGCCATACAGCATCAACTGCAGCAGGAAATCATCAGGTTCCTGTCATTGTCAACCATTTCAACTATGGTTATGCAAGTGGTATGGCTCCAGGAGCAGGGTAATATGCATATTATTTTTCTCTCTTTTTATCAAGAATTCTGCATGTGAAGTTTGATCTTGATAAAGAAAAACTGTGCTGCATCTTCTAACAGGATTGCTGTGTATAAGGCCATGTATTCTTTCGGAGGTTTCATGTCAGATGTTGTGGCGGCAGTAGATCAGGTTGAAAATTATAGTAGATAACATATTTATGCATCTTTCCCCTTTTTAAAGCTTTTTACTTGTTAAAGTAGCTAATACTCCAAGGTTATCTTGGCAACATTTTTATCATTTAGGCAGTAGAAGATGGAGTGGATATACTTAGCCTTTCTGTAGGGCCAGCAAGTGTCCCTACTGGCCCTTCTGCTTTCCTCAATGTTCTGGAAATGCAGCTTTTATTTGCAACAAGAGCTGGTGTGTTGGTTGTTCAAGCTGCTGGAAATGGAGGTCCTTCTTCAACTTCTATTCTTTCCTTCAGTCCCTGGATCACTAGTGTTGCTGCCTCCACTACGGATCGTAGATATAATAATTCAATTGTTCTAGGCAATGGACAAAGCTTCTCTGGCAGTGGACTTTCGCGTTAAGTCCCTTACCCCTTTCTTGCTGTTAATTTTCAGTTATTTTCTTTAGAGTGAGGGTCAAAACACACCAAAAGTGTCCAGGTATTTCAATTTTGACACCTGAACCATCAGGTGTGCGAGTCGAGCTTCCTACCATAACTATCACAAGCTATTTATCAAAACACATCTCAACTATCACTTGTTCCTTTTTTCTACCTAAGCGATGGTGATATTTCAGGTAAGAAAAGGGAACAATTGATAGTTGATGTGTGTTTTTGACCATTAACTCATTACTTTATTAACAAATAACAATTGATGTCTGCATTATCTATATTGTAGTGACTGCTTCTCTTTTTTTTGTTGCTGAAAATGTGGCTTTCACATCTTACTTTGCAGCCCCAACCCTTTCAGAAGTGCATTTCCCACTTGCTGCTGCATCTGATGTTTGTAAAGGGAACACTTCTTCTGCTCTATTGACAGTTGAGAGCTGCCAGGAGACAGAACCATTCATTCGAACATTAGTGCAGGGGAAGATAGTAATATGCACATATACATTTGATTTTGAATCAGAAGCGGCAAGCATAGCCACTGTTGCTGATACAATACAAAATGTCGGGGCAGCTGGTTTTGTACTGACAATGGACCCTGATATTAGTTCTGAAAAAATTAAGGGAGCTACAATGACTTTGTCAGTACCTGGTCTAATCTTGAACAGCATGGAAGCCTCTACGGTATTAATCTCATATCCATAACCACCAGAATCACCATGAATGGTTCTCTTTATGGATGAAAAATAGAAAATATGATGTCACAAAACTGGTTTCATCTGAAACCGTAAATAGTAAATATTGTACATTTCTTGGTTCAATCTTCAAGAACTCCACGACTTCAAGAAGTTCAACTTAATCTATAGATATTCAAAGCAATAGTTTTCAAGGGCCTAGAACATATCTTGATAAGGCTGTCAATTGTCTACTAATCCTGATATTCCTTGTTGTCTGGTGCAGGCTTTGCGCGAATACTATAACTCGAACACATTAAGAAGTAGAAGTGGAAGGGCTGTTAGTTTCAGAGCTACAGCAAGAATTTTAGACGGGAGACAAGCTAGTTATAACAGTCAGGATCCGGTTGTGGCATCGTATTCATCTAGAGGTCCTGATGTGAACAATGCACTCTTAGACACTGCTGATGTCCTTAAACCGAACATCATGGCTCCAGGATCCTCGATATGGGCATCTTGGAGCCCTAATAGTGAAGGAGATCAATACATCAAAGGTATGATTATACAAATTCAGCTTATTTTACACACTTGGACAAGGCTACTCATGAATTATCCAACATCAACCTTATATTTTGGTATCTGAGGGTATGGAGGTTAGGGATTAGGGTAGAAAGTTGGTAGGTAGTTGAGCTTTGTCTCACTTTTCGGCGGGATTATGTTTGGTGGGAGTCTGGAAGCATCGTGTATGTCGTAGTATTAACCTTATACATGTAGTTTCTTGCTTTTGGTAGCTGTTACCATCTGTTGTCTTTTGTGTTTCAGTTACCACATTATTTCGTTATTGTTACTGTTCTTTTTCTGGATGCCATGTACTGCTTTCCATATTAATTGACCTGTTTTATCCACTGCTGTATCTCCTTTTTCATTACTACTTTGATTTGTTGCACTTGAGCCTAGGGTCTTTCGGAAACAACCTTTCTACCTCCACGAGGTAGGGTGAGGTTTTGTACTACACTCTACCCTCCCCAGACCCCACTAGTGGGATTACATTGGGTATGTTGTTGTTTGCTGTTATTATTTCTTATTTCTAGAATTGTAATTTGAAAACACATCCTTTTTCCAGGACAGAATTTTGCACTTTTATCTGGAACAAGCATGGCTACTCCACACATTGCTGGAATTGCTGCTCTAATAAAACAGAAGCACCATGGGTGGAGTCCTGCAGCCATTACGTCTGCAATGATGACAACTGCAGATGTAACGAATGGCTACTCTAGTACCCCTCTTTTTGCCCAACAAACCAACCAGCTAACTCCTGCTACTCCTTTTGATTTTGGATCCGGGCTTGTCAATCCATCTCGAGCCATTGACCCTGGACTTATTTTTAAAGCAAGTTTTAAACACTATGTGCTGTTTTTATGTTCAGTTCCAGGAGTCGATGAAATGTCTGTAAGACGAGCAGTTGGAGTTGGATGCCCAAGTAAGAAAAAAGCATGGTGCTCAGATTTAAACACGCCAAGTGTGACAATTTCAAATTTGGTAGGCTCAAGAAATGTGATCAGGAGGGTGACTAATGTTGCTGGTGTAGATGAAACGTACCAAGTGATCGTGCAAGAGCCTCTGGGCGTGAGTGTTTCTGTAAGTCCACGAGTATTTAACATCATTGCAAAGGCTTCAAAACATATTACCTTTGTCCTAAATGCAACTCAAACAACCAATACTTACTCATTTGGTGAAATCGTGTTCCAAGGTAACCAAAACCATACTGTTCGAGTGCCTTTGGCTGTGTTTGTAAGCAGCACTTTACATTCATGATGCTCTTGTATATATCTTCATAAAATAAAGTTTTGAATTCTAGCATACACTGTAATCAGACTGTAATGCAGTTTACCTAATAAGAGAAAATCATTCAGGTAACCTTCTTCTAAGCTCCAATAAATAGGGGAAAGTAAAAGAAGTAAAATGAAGTGATCAAAGGAGACATGAAAGTAAGATTTGATAGCAATTATCAATCTTCAGTTTGTTAATCGATGAACCTTCGAATGCCTTGATTCTTGGACTCAGGTGTGATCGTTTGTTCATCGATGACTCTTCCGTAGTGTAGCAAAAACTTTGGAGAATAGGCCAGGCTTTCTTTGAACCTGAGAGAAAGAAAGTGAGTGTTTTCTTATAAAACAGTGATTTCTCAAAAAGCCAGAGTTGTATATTACTCCCTCCGTTTCAATTTGTTTGTCTTACTTTCCTTTTTATTCCTTCTCTTTCCATTTTTGATAACCCTTTAATTCTTACTTTCCACGTAACATGTTTAAGACCATAAGATTAAAGAACATTTTAGTACATTCTACGTATCTTTAGTTTAAGACAATAAGATTGAAAAGTCTTCTTTACTGTCTTAAACATCCTGCCAAGTCAAAACCAGACAAACAGATTGAAACGGAGGGAGCATAACTAACTTTACTGTAAGTGACTTACCTGAAAACTTTTCACCATGGCTTTTATCTTATTGGTTTTAGAAGCAATATTTTTCTTCTTCTTGGATTTCTTATTCTGAGTCATGAATGACCTGAGGAACCTTGGCATTACAAATTTCCAGTTCCCCATACAAGCTGGTACACTTACATATTTTGGCTTGTTTTTCACTGCAACAATCTGGGAAAAAAGTACTTCTGAGGACAGTAAGAATCATTGCTCATACATAAATGTGTTAAAGATAGTTACACATAGTTTTATCATACAACACATTTAAATTCTTTACGTTGTCAGTATAAATAAGTTAAATCCAATAGCGAATGCATATATTAGTAAGATAAGAAGTTTAGAACCTGAGAATTCTGTCTTTGGACTTGCTGTGGAACTAATGGTGTTGATGGCTTTGATTGATTCGAAGCTCGAAGATTTCTTGAGTATTCAAGAAGTTGAGCTTTTCTATTGTATCCTCCACCATTTGCAACATGTTTAACATGAAGATGTTGATGTTGATAGTGATGAAATTTGTTGTTTGTTGAATTGCTCCTCCTTCTTCTTGGACCCTCTACAAGAACAGCTACATATACAGTCCTTTCTCTCAAATATGTTACCTAAAACATCCACAAAAAAAGAATTAAGCATCATTTTCTCAAGAAAAAACTAAGGATGATCATATCACTAACCATTCTTGTTGGCATTTTCTTTTTTATTGATATTGTTTGTCAAAACCAAGGGGTCTTTCCGTAGAAACCTCCACAAATACTTGTTTTTCCGCTTCTCACAGCTGCTCTTTCCACACCTCCGGTATCGAGGGGAGTGAAAGAAGTGTAGGTGAAATTTTTGGTGTAAAAGGTAGAAAAATGAAAAAGGAAAATGTTGATTGATTTGTTTATAGAAAGTGGAATGCAGGCCTAAAGAAGAAAGATAATTGAGTCTTAATTCATTGTTAATATCGTAACCGAATAATATTAAAATAATTAAGGAAAAGTCCTTCCAAATATGAAATCTAAATTATGATTAAGATACATAATTTAAAAAAGTAAACAATGAATTCTACTTTGAAAAGGATGTACCACTATTTTGTTATTGCTTTATGTTTACTTTTCTTTCTCCATTTGTCTTTATCATTTGGTTGATGATAAAGTAGAAAATGTTGTGTTTATATGGTTAGTTAATAGGGACATTTAAATCATCAAACTTGGTGAATCACATAGGAGTTGTCACTCTCGAATGAGCTCTGCAATACGCAATTTAAATTTAATATGAGTTTCAATATGGACTCCGATATAGCATATAGCAACAAAATGGAATTTTTTTAATTAAAATTTTGTCCAATGATAATTAAGATCTAATTGTAGGTAACAATCTACAATGAACATGGACAGGTAACTTGAGAAGGTGGATAATTAATCTATTGTAACTGATAAATAAAATTTTAATTTATACCAAGACTATACATGCTTAGACAAAAAGATAATTGATGCAATATTTAGAAAGCACAACTTTTTTTTGTAATTAGTGTCCTTAGTATGTTATGTTGAAGAGGTATTTCGAATTTATCATAAATTTTTGGATATTCACAAAAAGATCAAGACATTAAATTTTTTATTTTTTTATGACAAGGGAAACCCGCAGCCGCTATCCTTTAGGTGCGCACAGGGTAAAACCCCTGCTCCTATGCAATAGCTCGCAAACCACATAGGAGAGGTAACCCGCACTAGGCAAGTCTGCTGCGACGAGCTCGACCCAGAAGGCAAACCCCTTGCTTTCGCTGGCAAGGGGTTTCGAACTTAAGACCTCCAACATGGAAGTCCCAAGCTCAAACCACTGGGCCACCCCGACGTTTTTGGTAATCAATTGTTTAACAAGTTTGTCCATATCATCATACGTTCAAGATATACATTACTAATTGCCCTCGAATTACGGATAAGATTTAGGTGAGAAGAGTAAAGAGATAACAAAGTGATGCAAGAATGAAGTCGGAAGCTGGGTAAGCTAGTACTGAGTGCTTGAGGGGTTGCACCTAGCCGTTAAGTTGGTTAGGATTTCATTTGAGAAGAATAATTTCATATTGTCAGTTTAGTCCAATAGGTTTTAAAAGTCATTTTATGTTATTGTCAAAATTGCCCTTAATGTTTGAGTGATTGGACACTTTAGGTCCAATGCTGGGCAATTACTTTTCATACTATCACCAAAGAGTGTCTTGGCTATTTAAGCATTGTAATAGTTCTTTTTGTAGCTATGAAAAGAATTGTTTAGCTAAATAGAGAATAGCTTGTCCTTTACTCTTTTTCCTTTTCTTAGTTCTTACTGTTATTTACTGTTTCATTACTTTTCTTTATCATAGTTGCATCATTTGGTATCAGAGCACTTTCTTGAGCTCTGTGGATACACAAAAATGGCGAATGAGGTTAGGGATATCAAAGAGATGCTTGACAGAATGACAGTGGAGTTAGCCAACTTCTCTGTCAGGCAGAACCAAATAGAGGAACAACATGAGAAGTCTTTTGCTGAGCTGAAGGAAGCCTTGGATGTTGTAAAGAAAAATGACAAGGGAAAGAACCATGAAGAGACTGAGGGAGCTGGTGAGATCTACACTCCTTCTGGCCAACCCATGGTGTGGGTCTCAGCATCTCAAATAGGAGGAGCTCCAACCATGGTTACCCCTGGTGGTTATCAACTGGGAATGAGGCCTTTACCTCAGTTCCAATCACCATTAGGGGGGTCTATGCATCATACTCCTGTTATGGGAGGTAGACCTGTAGGACACATGGGGCTGGAAGCTCAACTCACTTTCAGATGCACACTGGAGGCCAAACACAGATGATATATGGAGGGTTCCAAAGCCATCCAACCATGGGAATCCCTGGAGGAGAAGGAGCTCAACCTCCTGCCCATGGTCACTTCTTCAACTCCATGTCCAGGTTGTCCAAAATAGAGTTTCCCAGGTTTAATGGAGTAGATCTCAGGTCGTGGATCTACAAGGTAGATCAATTTTTTTCCTTGGATGAAATACCTTCAAATCAAAAGGTGAGAATGGATTCCTTACACTTTGATGGTCTAGCCATAGAGTGGCACTTAGCATACATAAGGAGTAGGCAACACTTGCCTTATCCTACGTGGGATGAATACATGTTTGCTCTCATGGACAGATTGGGAACTGAGTTTGAAGATCCTATGGCTGAATTGAAGCTGGTCAAACAAACTGGATCAGTTAAAGACTATCAGAATGAGTTCGATAAGATCATGACCAGGCTTACAATCTTGCCAGAATATGCCATTAGTGGGTTCATTGCTGGACTCAAGCCGGAGATAGGCTATACTGTCAAGAACCACAAACCATTTTCACTTCCTCAAGCCTACCAGCTAGCCAGAAACACTGAAGCTCAGGTTAATTCCCAGCTTAAGATAGCTAGATCATCCTCTTTTGTTGGTGGTTCTCAATATAGAGGGTGTTCATATAACTCTTCTCTTAAGGGAACTGGTTCCAAAAGAGATTTTGGGCATGGTAAGAGGGAAGTTTCTCTAAATCTTAACAGGAACACTAACAGAAGACTGACCTCTGCTGAGATGAATGAGAGGAGATAAAAGGGGTTGTGTTTTTTTTGTGAGGAGAAATTCTTCCCTGGGCACAAGTGTGGGGGGTCCAAATCTTTGTATTTGTTGGAAGTGGAAGAAGAAGAAGAAACTAGTGAAGAGGAAGTGGTGGATATACCTGCCCCTGAGCTAGGAAAGGAGGAAGAGCCAGGGGAGGTTTGTGAGATTTCAGTCTATGCTCTACATGGCATTCCCACTTTAAGAGTGGAAGGGTATTGCCAACAGAGACCTTTGTACATATTTATTGATCCAGGGAGTTCACACAACTTTTTGGATGAAGGACTTGCGATGGAACTCCAAGGAAACATTCAAGCTGTCAGAACTCATGCTATCAATATGGCTGATGGGCATGATAGGCAAACCAAGGAGCTGTGTAAAGCATTTTCATGGATGATAGAGAAATTGACTTACACAGATGATTTCTTACTGATACCTCTCAGATCTTATGACATGATCTTAGAGGTACAATGGTTGCTTCTTTAGGAGATATTAAGTTGAACTTTTAAGAGTTAACTTTAGGCTATACTTACCAAGGGCATGAATGTGTGCTGAAAGGTCATGTGGACAAGGTGAGAACTGTGGAAGCCAAAATGTTGGAAAAAATGGCAAACGGGGGTGCCCAGTTGTTCATGATCAGAGTAGTGCCATTGGAGGAAAAGGGGAACTTGGGAGTAACCACACCCAAGGAAATTGTGTTCCTTACTCGAGAGTATCCTCAGTTGTTTGCTGAGCCAAAGGGGTTACCCCCTTCAAGAGGGCCATTTG